AGGCCTTGCGACGAGCTGATCACCCGCCCAAGGAGTCCTACCGAATGTGTAAGATCTAGAAAAACCGAAGTGAACGGAGAAGTTCATGGAGGTAGGCCTAGGCCCACTGGGACTGTAGTGCCAAGGGGGGAAAAAAAGAAAAAGAAAGCATTTGCGTATTTCATAAATCCTACTTTTCTTGTGCGTTCTCAGTCTTCGTGTAACTCTGAGGGAACAGAAGACTTCACCGAGATGAGCGGTGCAAGGAGTAACTATAACAGCGCTGTAAGAAACGTCTGACGATGCTACAAGTGGATGATAATTGTACTTGTAAGTGCAGAGGAGGTTGGCCAAGAAACACATTAGCTAAATCCGAGACCCGCGTGAATTTATTTGTTGCGTTAGATATTGAGAAACAATTTGTATACACGCACAATATACGTAGTTAACAAAAACAAACTCCGTCCAAAACGCAGACATTAAAAACATTAGTTTTTTATTGCTAGTGGGGTGGGACTAAGTCCCTTGTACTGCGTCCACTTCTGGCCTATTGTACCACAAATCCCACTTGACCAGACCCCGGAACGAACGCGGGCCGCCGCGGTGGGAAGCCAGCGACTAACCGCTTGAGCTATGGCACGGCCAATATGTTATTAACTTCAGTTCAAATTGTGTGAGCCACATATACATTAAGTTCCTATGATACTGCAATACCCAGCATTCGCATATTCTTTACAAAGTCTTTTGCTTCTGCCTCTTTCTGTAGTTATTTGTAAGTGCTACCAGCTCTGTCACTTTCTGCTGTAAATTGACGCACATAACGACAGACCAGTCTGGTGTCATGTGGTACTACTCTAAAGCCTGGCTGCTAAAGAAAAACATAAATAGTGACAGAGTTGGTAGCACTAGTGTCTTATATAAGGGCCAATTATCTACTTTACAATCAGAGCTACTGGTTGACACTGCATTTCCGGAGAGAACTCTGGCTAACAGGTTAGCCGACTGGTGGTCGTGTTGACAGGTCGCAGTAATGGGGATCAGTTTTTAAGAACGTGCTGATGGAATGCCCGATTGCAGAACCTGTCGCTCTCAATGAGTAATGAGAGCGAGAGATTGATGATAATACGGCTAGAGTGCCATTTGAATGCCGTGGCGGATATGAAAGAATATTCTGTGGGAAGAATATGCATGAGACGGGCACAGCGTGGCACAAATCGTGTGTCCTCATGCCAATTGCATGGATTACATATATTTTCATGCTAATTATACCCGTTAGAAGCCTTAGATCCAATTTTTAATCCAACATCAAATGTATTATATTTTACTCAAATTATTACTAGTTTTTAATCGAATATTGGAATCATAAACCATGGAATATGATGAGACATTTCGTTAGTAATAACCGAATTTATTATTTCATGAAGCTCTGTTCCACTCAGTTCAGAAATTAATTAATGCAGTTTTAATATTCAATAATTGACCACAACTACGTCCCAACTACGATATTCAGATACAAGATGACCTTAATTTCGACCGAAATACCAAAAGCTACATTTACCAGGAAATTCAGAATCTATTACTTAATGTTTTTTGTTATTGCTACTGGGGTGGGACTAAGCCCCTTGTACTGCGGCCACTTCTGGCCTATTGTACCAGCCCCAGATGACAGGTGAGGGTGATTGTGGAGCAATTGGTGGAATGAAGATTGGCAGGCGAAACAGAAGTATTCGGAGAAAACCTGCCACAGCGCCACTTTCTCCACCACAAATCCCATTTGACAAGACCTGGGATCGAACCCGGGCCGCCACGGAAGCCAGCGACTAACCGCTTGAGCTATGGCGCGGCCTCTATTACATACTTACTCATGGAGCTGAGCCCTTCTTGAGGAGAAGCCAAATCTGCAGCTACTCAAGAACGTACGAGCATTTTATGGAACCTGAAGGTTCATTACCGTTTTTTTCCACAAGAGCCCTCCCTCCACTGGTCCGTACCTTGAGCAATATCAATCAAAACCATAACATCTCATCTTATCTCTCTAAGATCCATTTTAATATTGTCCACCCACCTACGCCTTGGTCTTCTCAGTGGTCTCTTTCCTTCTGGATTTCCCACCAATATCCTTTGTGCAGCCCTCTTACCCCCATTCGTGCTACATGCTCTGCCCATCTCATCCTCCTTGACTTCATCATTGTAATTATACTTGGAGAAGAGTACAAATTATGAAGCTCCTCATCATGCAGTTTTCTCCAACCCCTGTCACTTCATCTCTCTTCGGTCCAAATATTCTCCTCANGTTTCAAACATATGTTAGCTATCTTTACGTCATGATTTTGTCCTGCGTTGTGCTTATTAAGGTACAAATCTGTCATTCTGCCAATCTCAAAGTGAAATTGGGTATCTTTCAACGTATGTGAAACACAATTATAATAATACTCTTTGTTAAGTAGAAACTCATTAAGTTTTGTTACTTAATTACTATCCTACACTCTTCTAGGGAGACAGAAATTCTAGGCTCCTAACTAAACAACAGGAGAGGCGTTCAATATTACCTAATTCGATATTATACTAAAATACGTTTCGGGGTTTATAGGAGAGGTGTGTGGTTATACCAGCGAACAAGCAATCCGGGTAACATCAAAGGCATTCACAATTCTAAGCACAATACGAATGGTTGGTTTGCGAGAAAAGTATTCCTTCGTGTAGAGAAGCCATATTTCCTAGAGATGGTTCGATAAACACTTGGAGAGATCAACTCTGAAAACATTTCTTGGAAACATGTTGTTTACATGACGGTGTGCACCTGACGAAGGAAACAACCAGTTTCGGAAAGTAGTCGCTTGACAAAAAACTGGGACATGGGTAATATCAAAAGGAAAGACATATTGCCAGTTTCCGAAATATTTTCGGATGTTAATGTGACAATGGAGAATATCCAAAATACATCAGCCGCCTGAAGAAGGTAACGGAAACTTTGTGCCTTGAAAGGCTGGGCGATGGACAATGTGAAAAAATAACAGTCACGTGACGAATAACACGATCTGTTTCAAAATATATGTGGTTTTAAAAACCTCTGACTCTTGACAGTACCCAAAATATGGGTAACTTCAAGATGGGAAATAGACTGTTTCCGAAACACTGTCGTTTGAAAAGAAAACCCTGGGATGATACATGATGTCCAAAATATCAGTGTATAAAACTTCTCTCTGATTCATAAATTACATAAAAATCGCACAAGAAATTCTGTACATGTGCGGTGCTTTCCGAGAAATAAAATATTACCGAGAATTGTTTCAAGTACAGAATCCATATTAAAGATTCTAGAGCACTGTTTAGGTTTCTGCGGTAGTACAGAAAAAAATTATTAATTTTCATTTCGCTGAACATTATCCTGCCCAACAGGTCTGTAGATCATGTCCGAACATGTTTCTCTGAGACAATAATGGCGCATCACGGAATTTTTTTTTTATTTTATTTTAGGCCTCCTGCCCAAAGCCCACATATCCTCACACATCAGCTTATGTTCTGCAGGCGAAGGCAGATGCTTATGTTTACGGTCCATTGACTCTTTCATGTTTTTGTCTGCCTAGCTTTCATCCATGTTAGGAGAAGCTCCTGGTTTCCTGAGGCTTAATGTCTCTGCTACTCTCCCCTGTACGCATCCTGTCCGACCATACACGAAAACACTGGCTGCGTTGGTCAAGAATTGAAATATGTCTCATTACTGATTGGTAAGCAGAAGTCACGGATTGTACCCCTGAAAAATGCCGCTCTTCAACGTCCATGACGCTGTCCTTTCATACGATTTGGGCTGCAAGCAAACGAGATACTTTCTAATAATTCATGTCTTCTTAAGTTAAACTCTTGACGCCCTATCCCGATAAATATAGTCGTATATATCGAAATGTACTACGAACCCTTTGTCTTACTGCAGAACAGCAACAGTGTTACTTCTCTTAAATACGGAATTATTTCGGTGATAAACGTGTCAATGTGCCAAGGTAAACGAATGGCGCCTCTCCTATTTTGTGCCCTACAGAACAGTTACAGCGATAGATACTGGCCGGTTGCATATGGAATATTATTTAAAATAAATTTACCTCCTTCACTGGATGGGTATATGTTGAACTTTTGATCCTGCAGCCATGAAGTGACGCTGAGAAAATCGCGAACGAAGCTGGGAACTACGCAGCGCAAGACAGCCATGTTGCCTCTCGTCACAGAACTTCCGGTTGCGCCCACGGAGAAATCCTGCATCACCACTGAAACAAAACACCGTCACTTTCTTAACAAGCTCTTGCGGCTTTTACAAATGGTTTTAATCGTAAATAAATAAAACTATATTAAACCTTAAATCTATAAAATGATTTTGATTTGTTTCATTCTGGTCCGTCACAGTAGCATTATGAAAAAGTTAAATAGTTCCGTTCAGTGTGACTGATTAAGATTTTCTTATTTCAATTACTCATACCCTTACATGTTTCGGTCTTCAGAGACCATCTTCAGAGGGACACCTTTACATCAATACAGTTAGAAGCCACTATTACAGTACATGTTCTAAAAGTTAAAATATATACATACAATATAAATAATATACAATTGGCTGTAAAACCTTAAATCTTTACAACTACAGCGGCTGTCCCAATACTTCGTAAACCAGCTTGGTTTACGAGTTCCAACAGAATCTTAACAAACCAACTATAAATATTTTAAAGTATTGGAATATTAGACGGGGTTTTGATTCGAGGACAAGCCGGGATAGCATAGGCAGTATAGCGACGGGCTACGGTCTGGTTGACCGAGGGGTCGGAGTTCGAATCCCAGTAGGGTAAAGAATTTCTCTTCTCCACTACGTCCAGACTTTCTCTGGGGCCCACCCAGCCTCCTATCCAAAGGATACGGGGGGCTCTTTCTCCGGGGTTAAAGCGGCCGGGGCCCAAAATGACCGATCACCTCGAACTAGTGCCAAGGTAAAGAAAATTTGGCTCTATACACCCACCCCTTCATACATCTTCACAGCGTAGTGCTCGATTAGTTAAGCAGAGGGACAACTTTACGTTACCTTGGATTGGATGATTGGATTTATTGCACTTATCCACTCAACTCGTAACTACAAATAATACAGCGCAATAGCTCATATCTCACTGTTACATTGACTAGTGTCCTCAGTCTACTACAGCCTGTACTAGCCGTTTCCTGGCAATGGATCTTAACACAGGAATTATATAAGAGTCTCGCTGAATCACACACTTCAAATATCACTGTACTACAGCACACATAATGTCTTCTTTCCACGGCCTAATTCCTTTCTTGCCATCTGAACGGACCCCCTCAATTCTCTGACAATTCCTCCGTTCCCAAGCTCATAACCTGGCAGACTGGAGTTTCGAAACTAAAATGATTCAAGCGGTCTTCCTTGTCCTTTTTATAACCCCTCGGCAAGGACCGCACAGAGAGCACAGCTCCTCTAGTGTTGCGCGAAATCGTTTCTGTAGAAATGCGTTTACTCAGCTGTTCCATAGTGACGGCTGTACTCACGTCACATCTCGTTTCGTGACAATTCTTCTATTGTTGCGTGAGGACATTACCTAGCAACGGTTGTTTCTCGAGCTCCACAGTTCTTGCATAGGGCAAATACGCCACAATATATTGAACAGAGAAAAATACGCACATTCATTTTGCAGTGATATTCAACAAAATATTGAAATACAATTCACGTGCTTGTTGATTTCATACTCCCATTTTGGTTCACGTACAGCCACGAAAATATTGCACAAAGAGACATGAGTTTTTCCTTCATTTTGAAATATAACAGACAAATTTATTATTACTGAATCTGTTTTACGGTTAATACTTCATCATTAGCTAATGCTCATTTGAAACGAAATCTGACATATTCTCTCTTGTGTTACATTATTATCGAAAATGAGTATTAAAACACGTTTTATGGGATACGCTGCCATGTCGTTTCATGAATATGTAAATATAGGAGGGTAAAAGTAAGTTGTTTATTGCTAATGAGGTGGGACTAAGTTCCTTGTACTGCGGCCATTTCTGGCCTATTGTACTAGCCCCAGATAATAGGTGAGGGTGATTGGTATTTACCAAAATCGGCCTTGCGGTGGGCTGATCCCCCGTTCAAGGAGTCCTACCGGCTATCGAAGATTAAGAAACTGAAGTGAAACGAATGCCCTGTGTTCCAAGAGAGAGCAAGAGGAATATATTTCAATTATCAATGGCCCTACAGCCCTCTGTTGAGCCCTGGGCCTCTTCTTCAGTTTCGTAATATTTTTTTTACACAGACAGTAGGACTTCTTTGATGAGTGATCAGGCCGCTACTTACACAGAGGACAATATATACACAGACATCGATGCCCTGAGTGGAATTCGGACCCACAATCCCAGCTTTGGAACGAGCGAAGACAGTTCATACCTTAGACCGCGCGGCCACTGTGATCGGTTAGGTAGAGAGACACAGCAAAATACAGAGCATGTATATCCACGATTCTACACGGCGTCACATAGCGGAAGCTGCCTTCCAGGTATGTATTTCCAACTGCGAAATAACTCCAATGAAAGAGCGAGTCTGTAGTGCCCCTGCATGCCGAAGTTTGGGGGCGGAGAATCCGGTATTCTCCAGCGGGTGCTTTATGTGTTGTGACAGGTGTCACAGCTAATGCACGTCACAATAAATTGAATAGGACAGATACTCGTTAACACGCTTGCAGACTGCGAACCCTCAGATCTGATGGAATATTTAACTTCTAAATCAGACAATCGTTCGTCCTATTTCAGTAAATAGACGTGGAATAAGTGAAACGGTACACTGCAGTTCTAGTGTTTACTCACGTCAGTGTGGAGTGAGGACACGCAGTTTCAATGCGTAACACCTGAGGATATTTCTATGAGTATTCACATGTTTGAAGGAGCCGGGATAGCTCAGTCGGTATAGGGAGTGGCTACGGGCTGGGCGACAGAGGGATCGGAGTTCGAGTCCAGGTAGTGTCAAGCAGTTTCTCTTATCCACGTTGTCCAGACCGGCTCTGGGGTTCACGCAGTCTCTGTCTAAAGGATAACGGGGGTTCTTTTCCTGGGGGTAAAGCGGCCGGGGCATGAAACTGACTAATATCCTCCAGCTAGTGCCGAGGTAAAGAAAATGTTGGGTTATACATCCATTACCCCATACGCCTTCATGGAGTAAAAAGCACAGTGATAACTTCACTTTTTCTTATTCACATATTTGTAATTTATTTAGAGCAACTACTACAGCCTGTAAACAAACCAAACTGTTCTTTCTTCGAGTCCAGAACTGTTAGCAGCTGGATCAAATACAATTTTATGATATAAGATTTGAGGCTTTCACGGCGGTGACTATGAAGAAAGCAGTCTTCTGGGATTTGGCACCGTGTATATGTGGTATTAACCGACGTTTCGGAGGAACGTATCGCCTCCATCNTTCAGTCTACCACTTTTCCTATTTTCTCACGTTCCTCGCCAGTCTCAAAAGGCGAACTTGGAAATAATACGTAGACACGGCTACAGTCACAATGCTGCAGACTCGTATTGAGCAGGTGAGCAGAAGTAAACATTCATTCATTCATTCATCAGAGGCTCCACAGCCCTTTCTTGGGCCCAGGCCCCTTCTTCAGTTCCGTAACCTTTTTACAAACGGTAGGATTCCTTGGACGGGGGTTCGGCCCGTTGCAAGGCCTCTACCGACACACAGGATAGCATAACACAGAATAAACGCACAGACATCCATGCCTTGAGTGGGATCCGAAGCCGCGATCCCAGCATTCGAGTCAGAGAAGACATTTCATGCCTTAGACCTCGCTGAAGTAAACCATACTTTTAATTTGTATTAGAGAGGTAGTTGGATCAAATCTTGACGAGGTCACTGGCTGAAAAGTAAAGGGAAAGTTGTCTCTGTGCTTAACGAAGTAAGCACTACGCCATGAAGGCGTATGGAGGAGTGGATGAATAGATCCAAATTTTCTTGACCTCAGCTCTCTCTGGAAATGAGTGGTCAGCTTCACACCAAAGCTTTACCCCCGGGGAAAGATCCCCGGTACCCTTTAGATAAGAGACTGGGTGGGCCCCAGAGCCGGTCTGGACGACGTGGAGAACAGAAACATTTTGACCCTACCGAGACTCGAATTCCGACCACTCGGCCGTGGATACTGGTTATGCTAAATTAAATATTTCAGATCTAATCAGTCTCATCAAGTGCATGCACACCATTTTCCAAAAATGTAAGGCGATTTCCTTGCGGATCTGTGCCTATTAAGTAATCTCGTCATCTTCATGATGTCATTGGGAATTCTCAACGAACATTATTAATAATCGAAGAATCTTGCCCATTCACAGTTTGTGTATTTTCCCAGTTTCTGTAAAATAATAAATATTAAACGAGAGACGCATAAATCTTCAGAACCAGGAGAAATATCCCTCTAAGCTGAAAGTATAACACTATACTTATAGAAAGCAAGTATATTTAATTTAAAATGTAATAACGTAAAGGATATATTAGAATTACTGAAATATATTTTCAGAGCTTCCTTTATTACACTGATATATACCTTAATACGCAGTAAATTTCACGTGGGTCTCTACAGCTTAATCTGAAAATCTACGGGCACTGGAAACCGCTGTACCATTTGCAGTCTGTCAGTGCCTATTTTATCGCGTATATTCACTAAACTTGAAAGAAAATTAGATCATATCAACCGCAACGACAAACTCAATATTACTAAAGGCTGCAGGGTTTGTAAAGCAATGAAATGAATCTGTTATTAAAACGATGTTATAAATATTACATTCACGCACAATATTAATTCGAAGGTGAGGATCTCCTGGACTAACATATCATTCCTTAAAAAACTACCTGGAAACGAGAAACATTCCTCTGATAAGAATAAGTCAAAATTTATTTCCAGATTTGTAGTTATAAAGTATGCAATATGCAAAACGCGAACTTGGTTTCATTTCTTTTCGAACCAAGTACCGAATTTCATTCATTTCGATCCATGAATCGAAAACGTAATATTGCACAAACGCTTTCTAACTTGGTATCACTGTGAGGCAATTTTATGGCGAAAAGGAACGATATTTTCCACATTTTCGCCACTCGGAACTAAATTTATTTTCGTAAATTATTTTAACTATTTTTCAAAATTCTAGAAATAATACCTGTACTAAAATAAATAATCCTGAAATTAAATGAATTTTATATAATACATTCACTGACGTTTCGGCTAGGGGT